ATTGCCGTTGGTTGTTACGCAGGTGAATGAATGGGCGATTGTGATCACCTCGGGCATCGTGGTGGTGATGACCGTCACCCTCGTTACGCTCGCCGTCTACTTCTGGCGGAAGAAGTCCCAGAGCGAACAGAAGTACGCGCTTCTCGTTCAGGTACGTTGCTCCACCCTTTTCAGAAAACACCACAAAAGACCAGAGGCCCTCTGTCTGCCACAACCACAGCCGCACCGCACGTAATGATCACAATGTCTCATTTACCATTCCGGCGCGCAGGAGACCACGGCTCCGGTGGAGATGCAGGACTTTGACGAGAATTACGACGAGCCATCGCTCAGCCGGGCCTAACCCTCTCTTATTTTGTTGCTTCTCTTCGCTCTCGCTCCTCCACTTTTGCTTCCAACTACAACAAGACGCGTACTGCTCCCTCACACATAGCTTGTGTCTTGTAGCGCCAATCGCACACAACCCCTTACGAAACGAAACGGACGAGAGGCGAGTGAAGGAACCCGTGAGTGCATTTTTGTTGTTGTTTTCCACGACTACGTTCGAGGACTCTCGCACATCTCACACAAGACGGCGCCATCCCTAACGGATAGATGGGGCATTACCGTAATGTAAACAAGGTGATCACGTGATCAAGCTGGCGGCGGCGGGGGAAGCGTACGGGTTGTGGAAGGTGCACACATCGCAGGTCCACAGCTTCGCGACCTCCGCGGGCAAGTCCACAGCCTCTCCTCTGCTTGGAGACGGGGAAGCAGACGCGCCCGCCTCCTCCCTGCCTGATGCGTCCGTCGCCTTTTCGTGCGAAAAGATGGTGCCTGGATGGGGGAAAGCAAAAGTCAAGCCACAGTGAACAGAACCTGTGGGGAGAGTCCTGGAGCAGGAGTCATACCCTTGAACCCCTCTTCGATTTGGTCGTGGCCATCGAGAATGTCGTAGTCGGCCATGGAGAGCTGTCGCCGCTCGATAAAGATGGTCGCCTTAGCCGGGACCTTGAATTGCCGCAGTGTTGCTTTGGAGTCCTTGAGCTCAACATCGTTGAAGAACAGCGCCTTAGGGATGATGGAGTGCGCCAATGTGAGTGGGAAGGCGA